CTATAATGTGGAGCGCCAGGTGAACCTAGTTAGAATCGACGGTTAAACTTCCAGTCGATTTCCTCGACTTATCCTCAGTTCTACCCTATATAGTTTACGTTCACTACAGGGGACACTCGAAATAATGTCACAGCCGGCTAACGGTGATGTATTGGGCGCCATCTTACAACCACAATTTCAAATAGGGCAGACCTCAACTCATCTAAAGGACTCCTTTTCTGTTCGCACAAAGGAAAGGACTCTTCGTGAGTCTTGCCAAGACCGTCAACACAGTCATTCGCCAAGCCTTTGGGAAGATTTACGAAGATAACAGACATAATGTCGTCTGGTAAGGGAATAGGGCAGTCTCCGAGGAATTTTCGTTGACGTCAAACATGAAAAACGAATCGTGTACTCGTTCGCTCTGTCATGCTAATTGACACCTTGCGCAAGGGGCAGCCTAAATCAACCTTAATATCTGTTCCGACGAAGGGCCGCTCAATATCCTACATACGAAAGCTTACACCAGGTCCTTCGCGTGCAGGATCTTGTCTTGCCATCCCACCTTCAGCATTCGGTGGAAGCAGACGGAAAGCATTCAGCTTGCGTATTCGGTTGGTTTAGACCAAGGGCTGGGAACGTGTGGCTCGCGAGCCAGGTGTGACTTTTTTGATGATTGCATCTGGCACTCTCAGATAAAATTGGAATAAGAAATTTCAGCTCCTGTGATTTTTGTTCTTCCAGTGAATAACTCCAGAGGCTTATTATACTCTCACTTAGTCGAATTCAATCCTAAAGTATATTATCTGGCTCTCACTGACATATATTTCCAAATATTTGCTTTCTTGACTCTCTGAAAAGGTTCCCGACCTCTGGTTAAGACTCTCCCAGTCTTTGCACTGTACAAGCGTGTCGTTAAAACAAAGACCTTGTAATCTTCAGTATGCTGTTGAGTTGGAGGCTGTGGTGGTTCCACACGGCGGTTTGCAGCCGGTAGTGGCAGTAATAGGAGCAGGCTCATTAGTACTAGCAAAACCCATGGTAATATTGTTAGGTGTAGTAGTAGCATTTCACGCATTAATGATCGTGATAGTGATATTGCAGTATTGTATATGTACTACTACTACTACTTCTACTACTATTATTATAGCTACGGTATTACGATGATTATCATCCCGAATACTCTTCCTACTACTACTACTAATACTAAGATACCTACTATCTGGAGCATACCGGGTGTAAAGGAGGACACACAAAAGAGGCCCTCAGCTGTTTTCGCCCACCGGTCGAGGTGGTTTCAGGGGTGAGTCCGCTGGGCATAACCTAATGGTGGACTTCTATTGTATCTATTGAATTCTCTTTTTCCTCGGCCATCTGAGCCCGGTGTCAAGACAGAATCAAAATGTCTGGAAACTGGAGAGGGCGTAGGAGGATGGCGCGACCAAAGCCGATCCTGCTGTCAGACCTGGCTAGGATCCTAACTGTGTGTGAATAGCATTAAGGTCACATTAAGAGGGAGCCATTGCAGCCGGACTCTCAGTCTGTCAGTCAGTCAGCCACTCCACACAACACACAATGGACTAACCGTGCGTTCCGAATTTCCCTTCAGTTTGAAACCCTCCAAGTCACTATTTTTGGCACTCCGTTAGAGCTTCAAACA